CAATTTTTTTTTTCAGGTAGTGTGTGCAGAAAATTTTACATGAAAAAAAAAAAGAAGAAAAAAAATCGAATCTTGATTTTGGGTAAATTAATCAGAATATATATGTATCAAAGCAGCAGCATAACATGTGTCTTCAGATTTTATATTCTGCTTTTGCTTTGGTTTTTACAATTTAAACACATTTTTCCCCCCACATTTATTTTTAATTATGTACAAGAATTGTCAAGTCTTGTTTCCCTAACTCTTGAAGTTTTATACATTTTTCTCTGTTTGTAGGTTGCGATCGAATTTCCTTACATATTGGCACAAGCCTCGGTGTACGGCATCATAGTTTATGCGATGATAGGATTCGAATGGACAGCGGCCAAATTCTTTTGGTACATATTCTTCATGTACTTCACACTCTTGTACTTCACCTTTTACGGCATGATGTGTTTGGCCATGGCCCCCAACCACCATATTGCCGCCATTATCTCCGGTGGTTGTACCACTTTGTGGACCCTCTTCTCTGGTTTCATTATCCCACGCCCTGTAAGTTCTTCAAAATTCAATCGAGTTTGATTACTTGTTATATTTACAAAATTCAATCGAGTTTTTGTAATTTTGAACTTCTCTAGGCCAATAAGTACCCATTTACGAACATATAATTTGATTTTTTCTTTTTTTTTTTGGTGAGAACAGAAAATACCAATATGGTGGAGATGGTATTATTGGGCAACCCCAGTGTCTTGGACACTTTATGGGTTAGCTGCATCTCAGTATGGAGATGTAGAGAGCTATATGTTCCCGGGCATAACAGTGAAAGAGGTCATGAAAAGTTATTACGGTTTTAGGCACGATTTTCTTGGAGTTGTTGCAGCTGTTACTGTTGCCTTCGCTTTTCTCTTTATTTTCATGTTCGGGTTATCAATAAGGCTGCTCAATTTCCAGAAGCGATGATGATATACGTTTTGTCGTTTTGGTTTCGAAGGTTTTTAGTACAAAATGGTAATATCTTGTGTATGTGTGTGTGTGTGTGTTTAAAGCAAAAGGCAATGGTGATGTAATTCTATGAAATTGGATTTGGAACATTTTCTTTTTCTGGTAATTTGAGATGGATGTTCTGTTTTATCAAGTTTGGTTGCAGTGTTATTGGCTGGCATGTACCTGGGATGTTGAATATGAATGAGAAAATTTTATCACAAGGATTATATATTTTGATTGAATTCTTTTATTTTATTTTATTTTTTGTTAAATATATTGTTAGACGCATTCTAGTTTAGAAACCATTGTTTTTCAGTTGTGAAACTAAAAATTGTTTATTATCAAACTTTGTTACCTTTTACAGTCGTAACTTTCGGGGGGAATTTTTTTTTTCATGCTATTTACAAAACACAAATTCTTTTTGTGAGACGGTTAAATCGTTAAGTATGCCGACAAGTCATACTATGAGATTGTCGAATACTTACTTATATTAATAAGATTATATTTTTTATTTATGTTGTTTTGTACGGAAAAATATAATATAATATAATGAAAGTATGTATATTTGTAAAAAAAAATTAAACCGCCTAATGTCTAACGAAAGAACTACAGTAACCCCTAGATTTTGCGTAATTATCATTGTTTTTCCTGACTGTTTAACTTTTTTAATTAAATCGATGCTTGCTATTATCTGGATAGTATTGTACAACTTCAACATTGTATTATATGAATAAATTAAGACCGATTATGATCTTTCTCAATATGGATTATGAAATAAATTTTAAGAACCCCACGCGTTCTACGAGGTGACTTGATAGATATATGTGTTTAACCAATATTTATGTCACCAAAAATTATTTCAAATCAAATGCGCCATAGATCGTGATATTTGAATTGCTAGTATTCATTAATTACTACAATATGAATGTTTTATATTAGAATAGTATCTGATTTGGCATCAAATGAAACAAAACAATTTGATCTTCGCCTATTATTGAAGGGGACCATAACTTTGGTCTCTTTCGATGCCATATAATCAATGAATAACGAGATTCATTTTCTGTTTAATATCAATTTATGATTTTGATGTACGTACGGAAAAAATGGTCCAATTGTGCATATATTTAATTATCCATTTGTTCTATTTCATTATCAATCCATGATTTTGATGTATGTACGAGAAATAGTCCAAACAAATTAATTGTGGATATATTTAGTTATCTATTTGGTTTAGAATCAGACAGTGACTTGCAGAATTAAGAACTAAATTAAGGAACAAGAAGTTCAAAAGGGCCTCACATCATCTATATATCTAATAAAGAGAGACAATCTAATTGATACTATCCCAAAATTTCCCTCCCCATGTTTTCATCAAAATATGGAAAATAATCATTACATGTTATGTTAATTAATTGTGTAGTAATATATTTGTAACTATTCTATCATATAATTACTAATAAATTAACTAATTATATATTCAAACTAGAAGTTATACAATTATAAAAAAAAAAATTATAACAAAATTTTTTCTTCAAGGTATTTATGTTAGAATTACTACTATATTTTTGTTTTGATCTCATTAAGCAATTTTTTTTTAAATAGCTAATTAGTTTAATGATATAAAAACTCCTTAAAATTGTGTAAACAATTGGTATAACAACAACTTTAATTTTTTTTTTTCATTTAATTAATTGGCCATGGCAAGTTAAATTTAAATAATTTTCATTATTAATTAAATTTTGTACAATCTATATAGTGATTCATATATGAATAAAATATTTTATAATTACATTACTCATTTTTCATTAATGATCAAATTTATAAAACGTGATATACCAATTATTTAACTTATGATTTCAAACATAGTACTTAAATATATTACATGCATCTGTGTTACTGTGTATGAGCACTTAATCGAGTACTAGTTAGGTGATAATACACAGTTGTCAGCACTTAATCGAATACTAGTTAGGTAATAATACACAGTTGTTACCATTAATTTAAACATTAATCACTTAGTTATAAAAATGCATATTTAGACTACAAAATGTGTATCTTTATATATGTTGTAATTGTAAGTATGACATTTGATGATTTGAATATGAAAGTATAAATATTTGTAATAACGTTGGAAGTGATAAAAGATTTCTTAAAGTTAGGCAATCTAACAGAAGAGCTACCATATTTTTAACGTTGAAAGTGATAAAAGATTTTTTATTTTGTCCATACATAAACGTCAACTAGTTCAACAGAATTTACGGATCAATATTACTAAATCAAATCTTTAACAAGATTAGTCATGATATAGGATATCATTATAACAAGTCTAGATAAAATCAAAGTATTTTAGGTAAAAAATATATAAAATATGGGAATATTGATTTTATTTAGACAAAATTGTAAATTATGTTCAATTACTTTGACTTTAAGGTCATGGTAAAATAAAACAATGACCTTTTCAGTTCATTTAATTTTGAGGTCATGGTAAAATAAAACAGTGACCTTTTCAATTCCAACTAGTGTATAAATCAAGCACATTCTGCCCAAAATTGTAGAAACTAGAAAATGTCTACCAATTAATTGCACCTAATGCCCCACAATTTAAGTGACTGCACAAAATATATGTGATTTAATTAGTTACTGGATATTTTCTGCATTTCTTCGGACAGTTATTGTCTAATTCTTTTTATGCCAAAGTTACTATGCATATAGTGAAATTTCATTAATCAGGTGCCAAAATTGATTAATTCAACTTGGGGTACAATATCAAAAATTAAAACTTAGAATATCAATTCTTTTCCCTTTCTACAATTATATAACTTCTTTCGAGTTTATTTTCATCCCAAGTTCAAGCCCTCCATTACTAATTTTTGAAATTCAGAAAGAAAAAAAAATAAAAAAAATAAAACACTCTGCACACACATTAATGGGTTCACTCACATCACACAAACTTCCCATCTTAGAATTCTCAGACAAAAACTCAAAACCTGGAACAGAATCATGGTCCAAATCTATTACACAGGTAATTGGCGCTCTAGAAGAATATGGTTGTTTTGTGGCATTGTACGACAAAATCACCCATGAAATCCACAATGGAGTTTTCCATGCCATTCAAGAACTGTTTGATCTTCCAACTCAAACCAAAGTACAAAACAAATCCTCTAAGCCCTTATATGGCTATGTTGGCCAAATCCCTCTAATTCCTCTCTATGAAAGCATGGGCATTGACAATGCCAATACTCTTCAAGGCATTCACAATTTCGCCAAAGTCATGTGGCCTAATAATGCAAATCATCGGTTCAGGTACATTTAATGTTTCTTATTTCATTTTTTTTTAATCCAATTTAATGAAAAAATAAAATATTTATCTACTATTTTCTAATACACAAATGTTACTATTGGGTTGCATACATCATAAGAAATGTTACATTTGTTTATATTATATTTTTAAAATATGAATTTGAGTGCAAAAGTATGTATATTTGTAGAAAGAGGATTATATTTTTAAAATATTAATATGTATTTCCTTTTCTTTTCTTTTTTTTTTTTTTTTT